CTAAAATTACTTCTTAATGATAATATTTCCTTACCCTGGGGCTATACCACATACAATTATGGAACATTTTGGAGCCTTCATTGTGTGCTGTGACTTTTAAAAGATAGTATCCCACTTCCCTTTTTTTTTTCTCCCTTCAATCTCTTTCTTTAGAGCAATGTTCAAATATACTCCTTTTTGAAAATTACTTGCATATGCCATGGCCCGCATTATGGTTATTTAGTGGTGGCCATTTTACAGTCAGGTTAGCTTTTCCTTTCACTGAAATTGTTGGCTGCCTTTGCACAGACAGTCAGAGAGAAGCCTATATAAAAAATAAAATAAAACAAAACAAAATAAAACAAAACAAAACAATTAAAAGGACTTCAAGAGCAGAATCACTGGCAGACATTCAGCAGGTACTAATAACCTACATGTACCACCCAGGCAGAATTTAGGTACCTTCACCCACATTTCCTCTTTAATATTTGAGGTTCCCTAAGTCCAGATACTGACCTCCATAAAAGACCAGCATGATGTCTGTTGTGAAACCCTGCAAAGGTGCCAAGTCCTGCCTGTTTCCATTTGTATCTTCATGGCCACACAGGCACACACACAGTTTTGAGCCCCTCCATTGTCTCTGTGAAGTCAACCCCAAGCACGGGACACCCAGCTTACCCCCTCCAGCAATAACCCTCCCAGCTGGAAGGCCTTTGCTCAGAGTCTGTTGCAGACAACATACATTCTGATAAAACTGCTGCTCCAAGTAAAAGCATTTATTTTGAAATATAATCCCACAGACCCTTTGAATGCTACTGAGAGGTATTGGCTGTGTTCACCAAGTAATCCTTCCCCTGACCAAGGGAATATTAATTTGGAGAGGCTGAAGTGGTTCACCTGAAGGTGATATGTTGAACTTGGGCAGCACCAGTTTCACCCTCTGACTGCCTTCTGCTTCCATTTTCTCCTGCCAGATCTCCAAAATAAAAAGTGGATGGAATATTGTCATGGACCATCTTCTCAAGGATGTAGTAAAGCACTGTGGTGGCACATCAGTAAATGGCACCCATCTGCCCCAGCTGCTGTCCTGAAACTCCCAAAGCATGAAGAAAAGCCATCATCCCGATGCAACCCCTAACAGGGAGCAGAGATGTGAAGCCATGGATAACTGGCCTAACAGGATAAGCTGGCTCATGTCAGCTCTGCTGCTGCTCTCAGCACTGCTGTTGTAATCTTTCCTGGCAATTTCCCAAAGTTTTTCATTTCTGAACTTTTTGTAATTTCACATTTTAAAGCTGTATCGCCTCTGTCACTGCACTCAGCCATTGCTTATGGTACTTTCCATCAGCAATCTCCATCAAAACCCTCAACTCCTACTATTAATAACTTTAAACAGACTTTAACCATCAGAGCAAAAATGTTCTATGCATGGGCTCTCCACCAAGAGTTTTTTTTTTTCTTCTTCTTTAAAAAGAACTGAGCAAATATTAGTCATCTGTTTGAAAAACAGGGAGCTTTGCCAACAGCTGACTTTAAATCAGCACAATAAACTTCTAATCTTCATAGGTGGAAAAAAAATCATTTGTGAAATCATAGGTGGAAAAAGTCATTTCCAAGGAACAATCTTGAGTTCAGAGCTTTCTTAACCAAGTCATAGAGAATCATTCATATAGGCTTTATATCATTTAGAAAGTGCAGAGGGAAGCCCCTTTTTGTACTTGTTCAGAGGAATTTCGCGGATGCTCACTTGTAATTCTGCCCACGTTCCTGCTGCCCTGCACAGACTATTGTTCCATGTAGCCATGGAGCCCACAGACCAGGCATGACACAGCCAAAAGTGAGCTGGCTGTCGCTTCACCACACCAAAATCACTACATCGACTGGGTCAGGATCTCCCCTCTTCCACCAAATGGTGCAGGTAATGTGGTGCCTGTCTAAGGCCGACTGCTGAGGCAGTTGTCCTCTCCCTGCTGCAGAAGGCATGCAAGGAACTTTTGCCTATTGCTTTGTCATATATGGAGAAGAATGCAAAAAAAAAAAAAGGATTAGGTTCTTTTAAGACAGAAGAAATACAAGCTCGTTTAGTGATATGGCAACCCTGCATCTTATCCATGTGGCTCCAACACTGCTAAGAAAAACGTCTATGTTTGGTTAAGGGATGTATCCAAGCATACGGTATGTACGGTATGCAAGATGTGGCTTCTCTCATATTCTCTGCAAAGAATCATTTAACAAATTGCACCTGAACTTCTGTACTTTGAAAAAGAACATATAAAGCAATTCTTTTGCTGCTTATTTTTATGTTTAAGGAAAAGAGGTTGAAGAACACACAACATTCAGCAACTGACAACTATGTGAAGAAGATGCCTTTAACATGCTACAGGATCAACTTTTGTTTCTCTTCAAGGCAGGCAGTAATCATCCCTATCTACAACACGCAAGAGACTATATCTTAAAATATTCAATACTTGAAGGACTTGAAAGTCCGTTATTTTGTTTATTCAAATCTGTGCCAAAAATTCATCAGAGAGATCATCCTAGAAACACAAGTGAGGTAACTACTTGAGCAGTTCATAGACCTGCTGGATATTTGAATAGATATTTGTTCATTATTTCTCTGTTCAGCAGGATACATAACATCTTGTCTCATCTATAACACCTCCTGAAGCTCAGAGGTCCATGTACAACCACTACTCAACTCATGCAAAAATTGGCTGGAACGTGTGGCTTGAACTATCTCTGGTAAAAGTCTTTACTGGGAGATTTCTTTAAGAAACAGTAGGTTTTTACTTTTGTTTAAAAGTGTAGAGAATCAATTCTAAAGTTAGTGGCTGCCAAAGTGTAGCAACACCATTCCTGACAACAGAGCAAAAGGAGAGCACATCTTCCAGGGACATTCCTGAGGTTAGGGAAAGATTCCCTTCTTTTCTGACAACAAGCTCTGTGCTGTGGGTACGTGTGTGGGTACTTTGTTTCCAGCCTGGAATATTTTTAAACATGCAAAACAGAAAGATGCAGGATTTATTATACAAACTTAATAAAAGCAGAAACACAAAGAAGTCTTGGGGAACATGGTAGAGAATAAGGATAAGAGAGCAAGGTGCTATCTATGTCTGAATAGGGCAAAGTAGGTCAGAAGCTTTGTTATTCCTTGGAATGTGAAGAGCTTAAATAACTTTTCTATGGCGTGTTCAAGGATTTAGTATTTCTACTATGGGACAAAAATACAGAGAGCACAAAACTATAACAAAGAAAAGGCTAGGAGAGCTCCTCAGATCTCATTTAGTCCAACATCCCCCTGAAAAGCTGGTTGGCTATTCTTAAACAACTTATGGCAGATATTTGTGCAATCTATACCTAAAATCTCCCATAAAGAGGGCCCCTAAGCTGTTCCAGCCCTTGATTAACCTTGTGGTTAGAAAGCATTTTGTGTTATCTTATTTTGCTTTCTGCAATTTAGATCTGTAGTTTCTCATTCTACTGTCAGTGGACATGGATAGTTGTTTATTCACTCTTTATGCAAGAGCCCCAAAATACATGAAGATTTATTATACCTCCTAATCCTCAGCTATCCCAGCTTTGCAATGTTTCCTCAGAGGCCATGTTTGCTAGAGCTGTGACCTTCTGTGCCGAGCTCTCCAGTTGGTGCATATGTTTTTTTCCAGTTTGTATTTGCTTTCCAACTGTGACCTTCAGGTTTTTCCAAGGTGAGTTAGCAATTTTTGAAGTGCCAATAATAGTTTGGTCCAACTTGCTAGATAACAGTTAGTAAAAGCTTCACAGACAATTTTCAAAAAAAAAAAAAAAAAAAAAAGTATCAGTTAGAAGCAATACTTGAGAAGTTTTGGTTCATATCACAACTATTCTTCACCTTAATTCCCCTTCATCCAAAACCTGCATTCCACAACCATTCATTGCCCTTCTGGACACTACCTCCTCAATGTGGTGGGCTATGGTGTTTCTGGTGCCAGACCAGAAACACCAGGCACAGGCAAGGGGAGCATTTCTTGTGACACTTCTGGCCAGAGTAGAAGCAGGCAGGTGAAGGAATTAATGTGGAGGCCTTTCTTCTTAAGACTAACCCAGGATAAATTTGCTAATTTGGGAAATATGTTGCACAGAAGTTTGAAAGTTTAAGACAATAAATCCAAACATAACCAGACAAATGGTAGACACGTACATTGTACCTTCTGGTATGAGCTTGCTGCTTTTGTCAGTGTGACTTTCATACGAGCCACATAGCACCAGTTTGAGAATCCCCGTGTGGGTTCAGTGACTATTTCATGATCTGCTTCACCTCAAGAAGCTTTTGCTCCACAGTGCTTTATTCCTGTCAGGGCCACAGCCAGTATCACCCTGAGCGGGGAGGAGAGGTATGCTGGCAAACTTTGTCTTGGTTGATGTTAGCACAACATCTTGCCGAGAAAGCAAGTACTGTAAATCATATGAAGCTGGAAAAGTCCCCTGGGAACACAGTATTGTTTGCTTGCCCTGCTCATACTGCTCTACTCTAAGCATTTGCTAATAGCCACAGCCAGAAAGAGGGCACTGAGCTGGAAGGATCACTGTGCTGTCCCAGGAGAGCAATTCTGACACTCTTCCACATGACAAAGAGGTCACAGGATGTGTCTCAGAGTGACAATCCAGAGACAAGTTATGAACACAAAGCTTTAAATACGCTGCCAGCATGGGCCGTGCAGAAAGCACACCCCAGATCCCATGAGGCAGGAGACCTCACAGATAAGCCACGTCGCTGCAGGCTTCAGGAGGGGGTTGTGCTGCCCTAGGCTTGGTCACAACACTTACTGGGGAGGCAGATCAGCAGAAATGGGCCAGTACAGTGAAGTGACAGGGTAGCTCTCACTGGTCATGTGGTGCTGGGCTCTGTACCCTCTCAATGCTGGGCAGACTGGGATGAGCAGGCTCCCAGTGAGCAGCTCAGGGCAAAGTGGTCAGGAATGTTTTAGCTGGGACATGCGCCTAATGAGAATATGGAGCCAGAAGATATTACTGTACTGGAAAGGCTTTGAAATCCATCTTAGCGTGACATTTGCTCACCTACTGCCAGAAATAAGGACAGCTAAAAGCTAACACTTTAATATATTTGGAGAGCAGAGATGGAAATGTAATAGACTTTTTAACGAGCCTTAAATGGTGCTCTTATCTACAGTTATATGAAGCTGAGGCTGTGCCTTTGTGCATGATGATGCACAGTAAGACACAATAAGACTTAATCAGATTTCAACATCTTGCACACATCTAAGGAAGCAGAGAATACAGGGGATGTCTCACATGACAGAAGCTCTTAACACTTGCGAAATATCCCAAAGTCTCATGTTTGGGGGGATTAGTAGTGCCTTGCAAATTGGAATGACCAAACTTGAAGCAAGAGCTAAGAAAAACATAACAAATCCCCCTTCCTCTTGTGCAGTCCCAAACATAATCATAAAAGTCGTTACAAAAGGAAGTTCCCTGGAGACTAAATAATGTGGTCTCATTTGAATGGAAAAAAAATGGAAAAAAAATGCTTGTTGCAGCATCAAATTTTAAGGATAGGATTTCACCTCTCCAGGAAACATCTCTCCCCAAAAAAATCAGATCCTACCCAGGTACATCAGTATCACTCATAACTCTGGAAAAAAAAAAAAAAAAAAAAGACACAGGTGCTCTTACAGTAGTGCTTGTCCTGTTGATGCAGAGCTGGAGCCACAAAACTGTACTTCCCATATGGCAGTCCACAAAGTAGCCAGGGGAAAATACAGGAGCAGAATTTTTAATCCCAAACCATGTTATTCAGCAGCTCTGGACTATTACAATTCAAAGCTAATTTTGCCCATTAAAGGGATGGGAAAGTCTGGATACAGATCCAAACTCCATCCATGCTTGGCAACACCAAATCAGTCTGGATTTTATCCATCTCTAATCACCGAACATTTATAATTAAGATTCCATGGGCCATGGGAGCTACCTGCTGCTGGATCCTTAGCAGACCTGGCTATAATTATCTCGGCTGTAAGGTTCAGGCAGGCAGGCAGCATCCTTGCAGGAGGCGTGGGAGGGTTAGAGGCTGCAGCTGCCCCGATCAGTCCAGGTACAGAGGAGAAGTTCAGAGAGGCAGTTTATTGCTAGCAAACTTCATCCATCACTCAGCAGAGGCACAACTCCCCTTAGCAATCACATATGAAAGCCAGCAGTCAGCCCACCCCAGTCCACCTGCACTGACATTCTCCCAGTGCTACAGCACAGCTGAAACAACCCCAGGTCGTGGCCGATGTTACTACATCCCTGTATGCACTGAAGTACACACACACAGCTGGTCTGGTCCCCTGAGGCGTGTGATTCCTCGAACACAGCCCCAGGGAGCAGGGGCTCCAGGCTCTGTGGGAAAAGGCAGCTGAGCTGTGTCAGCTGCACCGAAGTGCTGAGCAGGCACTTTTCAGCTCTGAGCAGACCCGTTCTGACAGGAAACCAGGACATGTAGGTGCTGCCAAAGCTGAGGAAGCCATATCCTGCGGGGCAGAGGCTCAGCTCGCCTGCGTCAGCACACGTCCAGCGGAGCGAGGGGAGGTGCACTGGCTCACAGCCCTGCGGGCGAGAGAGAGAAAGGCAATCGTCCTGCACACTCATGGGCCTCTGGGATTTGTGGTGCGAGGACTAACTGTGACTACCAGGTGGAAGGCATGAACAAACTGGAATAAACATTTTACAAAAGCAAGAGCATCTCAGCTGTTACAAATGGGTTGAAGGGGTAAAAGGTTTTAAGAGTGAAAGAATGCAAACCTTATCATTGCAACCTTTCATCCAGGTTGCCAAAGTATTTCCAGTCCCGCCAGAAGCTCCCTTCCCAATCCAGGCCAAATGAGTTTACAGGTCAGCTAGGTGCAGCCCAGGAGTTGGGACCCATTTGCATAAAATCATCCAAGAAGCCAGCAGTACATCTGAGAAGATGAAGGGCAATGGTTTGTGTTTCTCCATTGCTCACTAGCCTGACTAGTGCTGTCTGGCCCATGAGTATATCCCAAAACACTGGTAAAGATAGGTTACATGCTGCATTGCCTAGCAAATGCGGCTGGAGATACAGCTTAGTAGCAAGAGAGAGGCCCAAACACAGGAGCTCATGGGCTCTGTTCCTAGCTGTGCAACAGAGAGCTCTCCCTTGGTAAAGAACACACAAGGTCAGCATCACCTGAGCTCATTTATGTCACGACAAGTACAAAAGAATTTCAGCCTAAACCACTTCTAAAAGTACTTTCTGAAATTTAAAAGAAACATTCCTGTAAGAATAAAGAGCACTTCTCATGCTCTTACATTACCAAAGGTATTTCAGTGGGGGAGAAACTACCTAAACGATTCTATGCAAAACAGCAAACCCACAACACAGGGAAATGTCAAAGGCACAGAGATCACAAGCTGCAGAACAGAAACAATATGTGGCAGTAAGCTGGCAGGCACACAAGGCTGGAGAAGCCCAGGTGGGCCTCTGATGTCTTCTATTTTCTGTCATGGGCAAATACCTCTTAGGAAGCCTTCTCTCCAGCTGATTGATCCAGCTCTGCCCCAGAGCTCATTAGGGTTCCTGATGCAATTGAAGGAACTGTTAGTGCCACCAGTAACTGAAGTGGTTGCAAAGACACAAACATTGATACCGATTCTCATAGTGCACTGTTAAGCTATACAGGGCCCAGGCACTCACATGAGAACTTAGGCAGTCCTTATTGATGGCTTTACATCGGTATTTTGAATGCACCCTTAAAAGATTAGTAGACTGAAGGAATCTATGCGAGACATGGCATGCAGCAAATGCTTTGGAAAAGAATACGCAGAATCAGTCATCCCTGTTTCACCTTTCAATCAGCAGCCCCAGGATTTCCTGAGCTAGAGCTTCAATCAGGACCATCAAATTAAATAATTGCTGGTGCACCTTTTTGTGTGTGTGTGAGAATTTATCTGCTTCTTTATGAATTATCTTCTCTCTTTGATAGGATGTTCCTTTCCTGAGTTAAAGGAGTAGATTTGAATCTACAGATCTTAATTAGCTCCCCAGGCAGTACATCTTTTAACAACTCTGTCTGTTTCCTCAGGTCTGCTGATCTGTGTATAATGCAGACCTGGCGTTCTCTTGGGAGGAGTGTTTACTGAACAGACACAAAAGCCTGTCCCGGAGGTAAAAGAATTGCCCAATGGTCCGAACAAGCCATGCAGCCATCAAGTCATGTTCCTGCACCTTCTGCTTCCATCCACATCTATTAAAGGCAGGCTTCGGCCTCATAAGGATCAGATGAAGCACATGCTAATTTTTCTGTGATGCATAAAAGCAGACATGTATTATCCTGCCTCAGGGATTACTAGGAGAGGGGTGGAGCAGCTATATTGGTACTAATTGCACTATCCATGAAAGCAGGAATGCCAATGTGTTTGCATCATACACACTTCACATAAAATGAATACTGAAATCGGGCATAATCCATCATACCTGCTGGTAGAAGGATTAAGTCCCCCTCTCTGGAGATTTGTGGGCTTTAAAATGATAAATATCATCAAAAGAAGCTAAGGGGAAGGGCAGAGGTAGACTGCTGAGTACTATGTTCCCCAAAAGACCTTATGCCACGGAGATTGAATGCAGAAGCCATCACAAGATGAAAGTGCTGGATTAAGATAATTAATGAAGTGATGATTATGGTCCATCTTATGAGGCTGAAACCTGCCTTTAATAGACATGGAAGGGATGCAGCACTGTGGTACCTCATCTTCTGCCTTCTCAAGGGGCAGATTCTGGACAGACCTTCACAACAAAACCAGTTTGGTTAACTCCTGCCCTCTGATACCAGTCAAGGTGGTGATCAGCAACCTTCAGCAAACACTGTTCTCACTGTTTCTAGATTTTTACCAGCCTAAGGCATTCCCAAAGCCTCATCCACTGTGACTGCCATCCTCACTGAAGCTAAGGCTGGGTTATCAGACTGCACACAGAAGAGGCTGAGGCAGGGACACATCACTTTCCACCACTACTGCCACGTTGCCTGGCACAGAGACACCCAACAACTGGAGGGGATGATGTGTAAAAGAGCAGTGTAAAAGAGCCCAGTGGTGTATTTGGTCAGTGCCCTTGGAGTACTTCACAAATGGGTCAAGGCAAAATAAGAATGGTATCCTTGGAGTGATGCACCTTAAGCTGGTCTATCTATTAATTCAGGACTTTTTAAGGCAGCAGGTGAGTGTCCAGGGTTGGTAGTTGTGCTGCTACAGCAGAGAGCAAAACCCTCCCACCATCAAAGCACTGTGTGGTGTTCCAGCACAGGCACCCACACAGCCTAAGGCATCCATCCCCATGCCTGCCTGAGGGCCACTCCTGCCTGCCAGAACTCCTCACCCCCAGGGTGCCACCAGCAGAGCCCACAGAAGGGAGATGGCTGTTATCTGGAATCGCCTGGAAATGCTGCTCCTGCTCCAGCTGAAGAGTGGGCTGTGGGCAACAGGTGTGAGGACCTGCAAAACATCAAACTCTTCCAGGAGAGCAGAGAGGGTGCATAACAGTCTGCCCAGTCTCGCCCCCCTGCCCAGCCACCCTGAGCTGCTGGGCTGTCGTGCTGGAAAGGCTTTCTGTGCTTGGAAAGGGGAGATCCCTGCTCCGCCTCTGCTCAGATCCCTGTCTTTTGGGCAGGGTGTGTGTGTGTGCACAGGGGGCTGCAGTGATGGCAGATGGAGCGGCCCCCGTCCCTACCTAGCCCTTGTGCCCTAGGAGAAAAGAAAAGGAATGAAGGCGAGAAAAAGAGGAGGGGAGTCAAAGCGGGGGCAGGACGGTGGGAAGCGCAGTGAAATGGGGAGGGAAGGGAGAAAGCGGAAAAAAAAGGAGGAGAAAGGGGAGGAGATGAAAGGCGAGGGGAGAAGGGAGGACGGGGCGGGGAGGAGGCAGTCGGCTCGGCACGGAGGGACGGGACGGGACGGGACGGGACGGCCCCGGCGCCCCGCGGGCCATGCGGCTGCTGGCCGCGGCTCTGGCCGCCCTGCTGGCCTCGGCCCCGGCCCCAGGTAAGCGGCACCGAAGGCACCCGGGGCCGGGGGGCGATGGTAGGGAGCCGGGAGAGGGGGGCTCGGCAGGCAGGAGCCCGGGCACGGGGATCTGTGCGGCGGGGGGGGGGGGGGTGCCCGCCGCCCCCTTCGGGGGTCCCCGTCCCGCTGCGCCACCCCCGGGGCCGTGGGTGCGGGAGGAAACCCCGCTGGAAGCGTTCCCTCCGCAGCCTTCTGTGCCCCGTGCCGCTGCAGGCAGAGGGAGTTTTGGTCCCACAGGTGCCTGGATCCCCTATGCAGCCAGTGGGCACGGGGACCCCCGGTCGCTTGGTGCTAAGAGCAGCCCCTGCTCCTGCCCGCTTCTCTTCTGAAATGAAAAGCGCAGCGGGCAGCGCTGTGCCGTGTGCTGCAGCAGAGGACGAGTCCGGCTCTCAACTTCAAGGCGCGGGGAGGGTGGGGAAGCCCGGCTCCTTAGAGGGTAACGGGAGTGGGATTTGCACCTCTGCCTCAGCAGGGCAGGAGGCGGCAGAGGTTGGGTGTAGGTTCATCTTCAGTCACTGCAGGAGCTTTCCAAGGGAAGGAGCCTCTGACTTGTGAAAGTTGCAGACGTCCGTTCAAGCGCAAGCAGCTGGTTGCTTTTGGTGATCTTTCTAGCCAGCCCCTAATTATCTTCATTTAAACAAAGAGCTTTGCTTCTTCCTGGCTCATCTGCTCTTCTTACTTCTTAATCGAAGAGAAATCAAAATAAAGCAGGCTTTGACAGTAACATTGTTTCACAGAACAAACTACAACATGGATAGAAGCCGCCCTGTCCACTTCTGGTCCCACAAATCCAAGATGAGATGGCAACTACTGAAATGGCAACTGCTCTTGGCGTGCCTCTTCAGTCCCTTGGCTATCAGCAAGGGCTGGGGAAAAAGTTCTCCCAGCCCTGAAAAGTGGCTTGTAGACTCTGTCCCTCAGTCTCCATGGAAGCAGGGAGAGGGACCTATAAATACTGCTAAACCCAGATGTGAGCAGCAGTTACAGGAGCAACCCTACTGGCGTGGGATCTCCACCGCAGCAGCTGGGGCTCTTCACAAGAACACAGCCCTGCTGGAGCTGCCCCCCAGGCCTAAGGACCCAGCAGCAACTGCTGGTCTTTTGCTGCTTCTCCAGCACAGACTGTGGGGCCAGCCCTGGCATGGGTAGGTTTCTGCCTGCTGAAACTGTAGTTCCTCACTCCTGACAATGCCATAAAAGCATTTTGCTATGTAATATGGCAGACAAAAGGTCCAAACATAGCTAACACTTGGGACTGAACTCCTGTGTGTAGGCACATGTGGACTATTTTTGGAATAGGATTTTTCAAATTGGGGTGCAGTTTTAGCACTACCCTTCTGTGACTCCCAACAGCCCAGTGAGACATGCGGCTGGAAGGGACCAAAGAAACAAGCAGCTAAAGGCCAGGGATGAGGGCAACTAAATCAGCTGGTTGCAGATGGGAGAGAGACACATGTGTGATGATTAAGCACACTCCAAAGGAATCCTCAAGCCTTTGACTCACTCTCCTCCCTTTTTCTATAAATAGTTTCCCTTTTCAAGCAGAAGCAGGACTAAATTCTTGTGGTGAGCTCCACCTGAGCAGCAACATGGTGCTATACTGGGAAGTCAGGAAAATAAAACGTGATTCCTCACTTGGAGCAGCAATCTGAAGCCTAGAAACTCAGTGCTGTAATCGCACATAAGCCTGATCTCAAGTTGTGGAAGAGTCTCCTGTCTTGGCACACAGCCCACTACAAGGATAAACCTCGTGTTGGGGCTGGTCCAGCGGCCGCTAAAGACCAGAGAAACATTTCCACTAGCATGTGGAGGCCCTGACCGAGGCTCGTCCTTCCCACATGGGAGGTAGATGACCTCTCCTCCAGCCATCCAACACTGCTCCTGCTCCAGTGGCAGTGGGTGGATAAAGTCAAATGGACACCATTTTCCTGTTTCATGTAAAGCATCACCTCACCCTGCCCAACATAAGATGAGGTGAGGTCACAGTCACCAGAAAATTTCCAAAGCTTTTCCATCTGATGCACTTGTACAACTGCCCTGGTTCAAGGTGCAGAAGGTAAGACATTTCCACTGCTCAGACAAACCTTCAGGCAACTGGCCCTCTGAAGTAAACGAGCTTTCTTACACAAAGGATGCAAAATTTGATATTTCCTTATAAAAAGACACCTCCCCCAGGGAAAAGTAGAAGCCCTAGGTATAAAATACTGATTTTTGTATGAGTGTAAGCAGCTAGAAGGGAACCGGAGACTCCACATACAATGTCTCTTTATCTTCTCGCAGAGGCTTCCATCAGCACCATATCTGAATTCCTCAGTATTTTCTCTTGGGTACTTTTTGGCAATGTGTTCTGCCTAGTTTTGAATTAAGCAATGATTCTTTTGCTTTTTGTTTTGGGATAGTATTCCACAATTAATCCTAGCCAGCTTTTTCAAACAAGAAGTTCACATGTCAGGAAAATGACATAATTGTTTTTCTTTACAGCTTTACATGATATGTTCATAATATCGGTAGAGAAAGCTCATGTTTCTCATTTACCCAAACCACATTTTTATAATCAATTTCTTAAAAGTTTTATAGCATAAATAATTATGAGAACTCCCAAAAGTGCTGAAATTCCTAAATTTATTTCTTATTTTCTGAGCGTTCAAAATTTTAATCTCCTTTTGATGGCAGAGGCAGGCACTTTGTCTTCACATCTGCCTGTAAAGCACTGAGGCCCTGTAACTCCAGCATGTACTAAATGAAGTTTCATGCCTGGAAACCTTTGGTGATATTCAGACTTAGTTTTAAATTTCAACATCCTGTTCTACTTGTGTGCTTTCTATGATCCAAAATAATCTCTTGCTTTGGCACTCACATGAAGTGCACACTCACACAAACATAATGCACAGATAATTACGTCAATAGCTTAGACCATTCTTAACTGTGTTTTCATGAATAAATCTTTTCATCTCATTATGTTTTTTCCTTCACAAAGTGTCTACTTGTACAAAATGTCTACTTCATGGTGTCTACTTGGAAAAAATCATACCAATCAGTAAAGCTTTCTATTAAAATAACACAAAATAATTACACTATTTATTTTCAGAGGGTTTTTCTCTCAAACTATTGCTATGTAACTTTTTAAATTCAATGGGATTTACTTTAAGTAAGGTGATACATTTCATCACAGTTTCAATGAGGCCACAGAAGCAGCATCTCTGCCTTCAGTACTCCCTCAGAAATAGATGGAAATACTTTACTTGCTTATTTTGAGATAAATATATGTTTGTGTTTCAGGAGCTGATGTCAGACAAGAGTCTGCCAAAATGCTCATCCCTTTTGTTAAAACGTTCCTAGCTGATGTGCTAGAAAAGTGTCCAGAAATGAAAAAAAAATCCTTCTCCCAGAGTTGTAATTCTCATTAGTATCTGAGTACAGTATACTCACATAACAGGAAGCTCAATATTCACATTTTAGAGGACATTTCATGCTTTGCACAGCATTTTGCAGGGAGTGTTTTCTCACTGTTAAAATATGCTTCTTCTCTCTAGTGGATGCCATCAGACCAGTAGATTACACACTACAAGTAACTTAGGAAACACGTTGCCACAATATACCAAAAAATAGATCAGGTCAAAAATAAATCAGTCTGTGATATGACTACCAAGGACATCATATACAATGGGAAAGAAATAAAATGGGTGTTGATTCCCATGCCTCAGAAAATCTGTTAACCATAAATCAGCAAGGTCAGGAAAGAAAAATCTTGCACTAATGAACAGCTATGGACTTCTTTCAACCTTCACCTACACTGACTATTGTTAGAAATAAAGCAGAGAGACAACTAGTCTAAACTAGGTTCATGATGAAGAACAGGAAAAAGAGAGTCAGAAATGAATGGAAAAAAAGAAATAACCATTTGCCCCAATATAACCGCATATCATACTTTGTCATGCAAGTAATGTCATATTAAAATGAATTTGTAGTCAGGAGGACTGATCTGACAGATTTAATCCAGATGATCATTTGATTATTACAAGGAGAATATTACTTAAAACAGAGGACACAGGGAACGGTAAAGCGAGGAGTTACTCGTATCTGAGGAGTTACAGGCTTGTAGGGAGGTCAGTAGCCCTTTAGTGACTCATCTAGGGAACAGCAGCATGTAAGGTTTGCACAGATTATGTCCAAAAGAAAGAAACAGAAGCATACACATTGACATTACGTGACTTTAGCAAGTCAGCATACGATTGTGGTAGCATGTGGAAAAACTGAGGACCAAGTAACAAAAGTAGAGCAGAACTTAGTAAAGCTAAGTCATGCACTTGGGGATTAGTAAGAATTTCTCTGATGAACTAGGAACTGAACCACAAATGACAAAGGAGGGAAAACACTCAAGTGTATTTAAATATAAACTGATATATAATCCCATATGAAAGTGTGATGAAAAAGGACAATGGAATTCTGGATACACAAAGTATTTCTAATCAAACCTGGAACGTACATTGACTATTTCACAGGACATTGGAGAGCTGCTTCTCAGAGCGTGTCTATAATTCCAGGCACCCATAATAAAAATAACAACAGCATTACAATCAAAACAAAAATGTAAGGAGGAAGCAATGCACAGAAGAATTACCAAAGTGAATAGGGAAGTGGAAATACTACTTTACCAGTGGAAACTAACAAAGCTTGGCTTCTTTAGTTCAGCAAAGTGCTGATTTGAGAGGCCAGATAATTGCTTTCTATATAGAGTCAGGAAGTAAATGCCATTTAAATTTAAAGGGTAAAGTTGGCACAGGAGCAAATGGGCATAAGCTGGTTATTGAAAAAAGTTAGCTTGGAAGTTGTAAGATGGATGCGAGTCACTGTAAGATGCAGGTCATGGAATAGCTTTCCAAAAGATATTCTGGGCTCTTACTCCAAGCCAGTTCTAGACAAGGCTTGTTCAGGGTGATGAAAGATTATGTGATGTTGGGTCTGTGACAGCAAAGTGCCTACCTCAGCCCTATCTTATTTATTAGAGAACACAAGAATACTGGAGCAGATTGACTGAATGCCATCCTTAACTTTCACGGAGGGACAGAATATGTCAGGTTCAAGAAGCTCACTGAGTTGCTGCACACAGAACTCACGCTGTTGGTTTACCTGCTGTGGATCTGTATGCTGGGACAGATTATGGTGCTGTTGTGCTGGCAGGGAGGATTCTCACCATCTTTTCTTTCCTTTGCAGATATTTGTGAGGCTTTAAACGTGACAGTCTCTCCAGGACCGACAGTGAGATACTCCGAGGGAGACAATGCTACCCTTTACTGCCACATTTCTCAAAAGAGAAAGACAGACAATTTGCTGGCTGTGCGGTGGGTCTTTGCTGCATCGCCTACCCAGGAGTATCTGATGATCAAAATGACTAAGTTTGGGTCTGTCCAGTATTACGGAAATTATACTCATAATTTCCACAAGCAAAGACTTCGTCTTCTTAAGGAGAAACATGGAACTCTGTACAAATTCCTTATCCTAAGCCTCCAGCAAACAGACCAAGGACACTATATATGCAAAGTGCAGGAAATTGGCAAACACAGGAATAAGTGGACAGCATGGTCAAATGGCACAGCAGCTACTGAAATTCGAGGTGAGAAATCACTGATTTCAGTTCTATCATTTTTCTTGTCCTATGATCTTTCTGTCAAGTTCATCCATAAGACATTTGAAGTTAGGTTATTTTTTTAAGTGTTATCTGTGGGTATGAGAAGAAAATCTAATACCCTGCTTCTTTACTTACACATTACAATTTAAACTTTATTCAGCCCATAATAAGATGTAAACAAGCAAGATTAGTATATTTGTAGAAGATGGTCTATTTCCTTTGCCTTTCACCAGAATAGCAGCAATTAAGGTTCTGTTACATTCAGCTATGGGTCTCTACAACTTTGCCAGTGGGAACAAAGAAATGTCATTATTATTTAAATACAAAGGACAGAAAGAGAGAGAAATTAACTTATTTTCTAAAGAATATGAAGTGGGTTAGCCAGAAATAGAAGATATTTTAGGTCTGTGTTTTGCCTCTCTCTTGGTGTTTTCATTTATTTTAGTTTGAACGCAGAAACAGTTTATAAGTTGCATTTCTAGTATCACTCCTGCACTTTTGTTTATATAATTTGTAGCCAGAAAGCAGAGCTAGAAAAGCAGCGACCAGCCTGACTTTAGATAAAGAATTGACCAGCAACAAGTGAGGTTTTGAACCATACATATCAACTGGAAAACAGGCCTTCTCTTTGGGGGGGGCTCAGCTCAAACCTAACACCACCACACCCACGCATGATGAAACTGGACTTAGAGAACAGACTCCTTTGAAGAGCTGGCTGAGCTCAGCATTTGTGCTGTCAGGGCTAGCTGACAAACAAGCCCCCCGCATGTGGTTTTACATACAGAAAAGTTGATTTCCCACAGAGCCAACTCTGAAGACAATGCCAAAAATCAAGGGGGACTGCTTGGTCCATAGGTCTGGAAATTCAAGAGGTTTATCTAGCAATCACAGAAAAACTTGTAAGAGGAAATTGTACTTCATGAAGTTTCTGCCATTGCTGTTGATGCTAAATTTACTGTTGTGTTTAGATTGCAAAGGTTATTCCCGTAGCTGGGAAATCCCAATCCCATTTATCTAATTTTTGTTTTGGGGAAAATGTCCCTAGCTCTTTTCTAAAACCAATTTTGCACTAAGAGGACTCCACTGACTACAAGCTTTTTCCAGATAGGTTCAAACATATTTCTGTAGACTTAATTCAAAGCACATTCCCTTAGTGCCATCTTCATTAGCATCACTCAGGTTTCTGTATCACTTTTGGATTATACACACACCGGGGGACAAATGTAACAGTAAAAAATAATCTTTGAGTGCATGATCGCCTCTGGAAAGCTCTCAGGTGTCACTACAAGAGCAAAGGTGGAAAAACAATATAATGAGATAAACAGCAATTTCACTTTGACCAGCAATGTTTAAATCTGCCTTGAGAAATTATGGCATTAATATAATACAATTAGCTGATTATTACTAGCAATAATGAAAGACACTAACAATCCAAAGCTGAATCTCTGGTTGTTTTGGTAACAAAGACCATGGGTCAATTTCAAACAACCATAAGAAAATCTTTGGTTTTACTGGTTATGTAAAATTTGTCCCTCTCTGAAGAAAAGCTCCAAGCTCAAAGCTGGTAACTCTTGTTCTTGCTCTGCCCTGTGCCCAGTGACCTTCCACATCACAGTCAATGACTGGGGCTCCTGGATATGCCACAGGAGGAGGTGGCCAGCACTAAGGTTATTGTGGAGAGAGAACACGTTAGGATACAGGACACAGAATTCATTAGCTTCACAGTTCAAAGAACAGTTGCATGTTTGTTTTTTGTTGTTGCTTTCACTCTGTTGTTTTTAAATGGGGAGGAGTAAAATTACCAGGGCCCAACATTCCTTGAACTCAGCCATCTTGCATCTCTGGAGATCATTAAATTTTACAAGCACTGACCCCATGTTGTGTGGCTGGAGCCAAGGCACAGTGGTTAGTCTCACAACCACACAGGGATCTGTGCTGAAATGAAACTTTATGGTATGTGTGATTTAGCCCTGCAGGCTTCAGGCACTAGCTTGCTTCACGCTCAGCAGTTATTCTTCCCTGTTGTTCCTGCTCTTGGCTAGGAACTGGGACTCCTCCTCCTCTCCCTCTCTCTTCCTCCTTCACCCCTCCAGATTTGGCTAAAGGGAACTTGGAGGAAGGAGACCTGATCACCCCAGCTGCCTCAGCCACCTCTGGGAAGGGGCAAAGCTGGCGAATGATGCAGGGGACAGAAGCCAGGGCTTGAGTCTCAGCCTACAAAAACATGGTGGTTCATATGCTGTGCTGGAGGGGAAGAGGAGGAGAGGCTGAGTGTAACAACAGGGAGGCTTCCTCTGGTGCTTGAAAGGGATGGGCAGAGCTTGCAGACCTACAGGTAGAGCAAGGAGGTCAGCACACAATCCCGGAGTCTTAGACTACACCTTCATCCCCATCCCAGGCTGTCCCTCACATCAGAGAGCTTCAGAGACTCCTTCAAACCTGCTTCAAACACTGACATCCTCTCTTCATGTTTTCCAGTGCTTTGGGGAAAAAATACTGAGGATTACTCGAGGGAGGAAAGCTAGAGAGAACCAGGTCTGATGCAGAGAGAAGCGAAGGAGAAGAATATCGTTTCAGCTGAGGGAACTATGCTGCCCCATTGCCTAAGATCATCCGCAGCAGACCAGTAGCTATCTTCAAGAGTGGCGCACTGAAGGATAACAACTAGTGCATTTCTTGCACAAAGAACTTGCAAAATAAACCAGAACATAAACACAAGAAGTGCAGAACAAGTACTTCAGGAAAAGGAAAGAAAAAAAAAGAAAAAAAAGAGAGGAAAATCAGATGCAGGACCATTTTTAGGATTTTCCCATGATAGTGTAATTTCATAAGTCAGTAGTTTAGAGTGTTACCACATTCAGTGAAGGATAGAATTTCCTAAATGCCTGTACTGAAAACATATGGATTTATCTGGAGTGTTTGTATGTTAGGGGAACAACATATTGCAGATAAATGGCAACAGAAAAAAAAGCAATATAAAATATTGATGGACCACCTGTCAAAACCCTTCTCACAAATGCCACTCTGCATATTTTCAATAACCTGTTGCACAGGTTATTGATAACTATAACACAGAAATGCCTCATTGCTCTTTCTAGTCAAAATCTGGGGTTCAGATTAATTTAGTTATTGCAAAGAAGAAAAATGGAAAATTATCAGTCTGTTCCTTAAATTCTAAATTAGCTCTTATTTTTCTGACTTTTAGTACTATTTATAAATACATAATCATGGTGAAGATTTGCAGCTATGAATTCATCCTTCTGAAACTCTCTGGCCATCTGTACTGCTTCTCTCTGCTTCCAGTGTAACCCAAAGCAAGGCAGAAAACTTGAGATAAGGAAGGAGGGAAGGCCACCTGTAGAGTACACACACTGACAACACTCCATGGGGATCTCAGGCAGACACCCCCAGAAGGAATATCTATTCGAAATCCAAATCCAGGTTAAAAGATCGTGGAATCACAGAACCATAGAAAGAATGGATTGGGTTGGAAGGGACCTTAAAGATCATCTGGTTCCAACCCCCCTTCTAAGGGCAAGGGCTAAGATACTAAGGAGACACTTGAAAAGTCACATATCTTTAAATGTCATAGCCACTGTTTTAGTGCTAAAAGCCCCTTTACTGGGAAATAATTGTCTTAGCTAGCACCAGATAAAACACTGTGATTGGACAGGCCTTGCTACACATGGGAGGGAAGGCAACGATTTTCAGTGGTGATAAAGTCTTCAGTTTCCCCAGTGGTAACACTTGGGCTTTTCAAGGAAATTTTCTTCCAAACACATTTTGTATTTTATATTATGATCAGTTACACTTTTTATTGCAAAGGGATTTGGTTTTGCAGTTAGATCCCGGAAAAAAGAAAAGGAGCAATACAAATTGCCTGAAGCACATGGATACTTAAACCGTACTGTTTGTGCTTTATCAAGTAAGGTAGCAGTGCTCAAATGCATCACAGTTGCTGTCTTTTCTAACATTTTGTTCCAGTTAATGTGTCTGCAATTATGCACAAATTCAAAGTGGTCTCTTTATGCTGAAGCACCAGATAAATTTCTGACAAGCTTGCACATTAGGTGGATGCAGAAATAGGAATTATTTTTGTTAACACAGGAAGAGGAGGTCACTGCGTAAGACAGAAAATTGCAGAGGAAATGCAGAAGGAAAAGTCATCCTGCACCTTCAAAATCTAACTGGCACTGCAAGCAGAAAAAAACAGAGGCAATTCAGTATGTAGCCTTTGTCAGCCACAAAGCATAGCACTATTTCAAGTAAAAGAACTTGATAGGTTAAGCCTGGGTCTGTAGTATCTAACACATTTTTTATTTTTTTTTTTTATTTTTTATTTGCTAGCAAGTTTGCTAGTGTGAATTTGTGTAGTCCATAAAGAGGCTGCAAATGCATTTTTTTGCAACACCATTTTTTACAGGTAGACATATTGGAGCTGTGGAAAATCAAAAAAAAAAAAAAAAGAAAAAAAAAGAAAAAAAAAAAAGAAAAAGAGTTACAGTTCCTTAATGTTTAATAATGGCAGTTAAAAGATCAGCTATACATCTAGCTTCTCCTCTAGGGGCTGAATAAATTTTTCAGAATCAGAGCCTCATCTGATGAGGATGGAGAGTCCTACATTTGTGAATTCACTTGTCAACTACAGCAACTTTGTGGTCTTTTAGAAAGCCCATCTGAAATTTGAAATGCTGCAGTTTGCCCCTTTAGGTGTAATGAATACAAGACAGCAAACAGAATTCACAGGAAGGATATTGTTAAATCCTGGTAAATCCATGTCCTCATGTTGTCAAGAAGTGTCTCCTACTTCAGCCATTTGACATACTCACTCTAAGCTAAGGTGGATCTTTTTCCCCTCCCTGCATCTTCTCATAAAAAGTATATTGTCTTTTCATGGGTTTGTCTGGTCAATATTAGCCTAAGAACAAGTTAATCATCTTCATTACAGTGCTGAATACACCAGAAAACATTATGAGAGAAAAAAAAAGACATTGTAAAGATGGTTCTCCTACTGCTTTCCTATCAGAAAACTCAAAAAAGTGAGTAGTCTTCTACAAACAATATGCAGCACCTCCATCATTTATGGTTGGATAATCCCTCCATTCCAGGTACTGCACATGGCTTAGGAAGAGCAGTACATGTTCTAAATGGTTTATGATCCAAGAGAAGAGATTATATGTAGGAGGACAAACAGAGAAAATCAGACAGTCCAACTGAAATCCTACTAGCATGGACAACAAGTGAGAGATGATCACAACATCTTGTTGAGAAGTTTGTATATCAGAGTTTCCTGTAGAAAAGATTCTGAATTCTATTAAATATTAGTAGCCTGTGCTGTTTCCGAACAGTAAAAATGTTGCAAGATAAAGAAATGCAATATTTTTTTCCTTCAGAAAAATAAAAAAAAGCCCTTTTTTCAGGGAATGTATTCTAAAATACTTGCCAAAAATCTACTCGTGTGATACTTTCACCCAACAAATCACTAGACCTGTGAAAAAAAATGTTCAGGATAAGCTTCCCATCACAACTAAACAGCAGATTTCATTATTCCTGAAAGCATTTCCATATCCACTGAGTTAGCCCCACACATCACATCCCTACAGGACAGGCCTTAATTAATTTCCTTTCTAGTGGGATACTTTTCTGTAATGATTTGCCACACGACCCTCTCTTGGAGGCAACCAGGAGGACATCACCAGACTTCTTTTCCATTGTAATGATAGCTAGCATAAGAAATCATGGATTAACATAAGTGAGATCATCTAATCTGATGACATCTAAATATGTCAGCATGCTTAAACAATCTAGCTGGGAGAGCAGAGAGGGTTTTGAACAGCGGGTGATCCAGCAGTCAGAGCATTTGGATTCTAGTACCAGGTTGTACAGCTGTTATGACACAGCAGATGAGATTTGATGGAAGATATTTTTAGTAATGCCATTTTATAACTGCAGTGTTTCATTGAAGGATAACTGTCCTGTGAGATCAAGTAAGACCTTGATGCACCAATGTGTAAGGCAGAACTATATTTACTCTGAGTGATCCCAACATGTTCTGCTGTGTGTTTTCAATTCTTGTTATGTCCTCTTTTTTTTTTTTTTTTTAAACCAGTGATTTCATCAAAAACTTCTGATGATCCCACTTTCAAGAAAAACCATGAAGCTTGGAAGTTTTTTGAAGGTAAGACACATCTAACTGCTACATACAAGATGCTAGTTTGGCCAAACTCTACAGTACAACTCAAGCGCCCCCCAACAGGCCCAGTTTTGCATGTTCCTGTACAAACTCAGGCCTTGCCTCAGAAGGCATCCCACAAACTACAATGGGTGCTGGCAAAAAGAGAATGGAAGTCTTCAGCTCCACTTTCTTACATGTTTGTTATGGTCAATGGGAGAGTGGCCTGCACCTGGCTGGTCATGCAATGCAAATGCAAACCCTCATCCAGGAGGGTGCTGAGCATGAGATACCAAGCACTGTGCACTCCCCCCAGCCTTTGAAACTGCTCACAAACCATGCTCTGCACTGAGGGAGCAGCTTAAAGCTCCCGGGAGTTTCAAGGCAAGCAGTATTTTCTGTTTATTAGGGAACATCTATTCCAAGAGGCTGAAATCCAGAACCTGCATGCAGCTGGGATTTCCTCCACCTCCTCCCACCCCAACCCAGAGCACCAGTGAAGCACCAGCCCAACATTTGCAGCCACTGTGCTGCACTGCCTGACAGGCAGCACTGCTTGCTCAATTCTGCAGAGAGCCTTGCTGCTCAAACCACAATTTACACACTATATTGTTGTACTGTGTACGGGGAGATGTAAACGAAGCACAGAACTGTAGGTCAGGGGTCTGGTTCCAGCAACGCTATTTTCTACAAGAACACTTGACCTTTGAGGCTTGGTTTCCTCTCTGTAAAGTGGGAAAGAAGCCAATATACATCCCTAAGGACATTTCAAGACATTAATGGGTAGAGCATCCTTGAAGTGCTCTTTTTAGAGTTCTAGTAAAAGCAGAAATAAGTCATCAAAGACTTAGCCTTCTGAAAAAAATACTCTGTCTTGATCTCCTGTGGTAGAAGTGCTGGCCCCTCCAGTGGGAATGTGTTATGGGACTTGACTGACAGCTATAAGGGGAGACTGAGGCTGTAGGTTGAAAAATAAAGAAAATGTATGGATAAAAAATTCAAGCCAATGCTGCCACCAAAAAAAATAATATAATAAAATAAAAAAATAAACAGCAATCACAGACTTCCTTCCTTCTTCCTCAGCCACTCAGCACTCCCCCATCTCTCCCTACTGCCACTTTTAAAATTTGTTTTCATGTCTTTATTTTTAAACTAGTACAGCTGTTTGAACTGGGAAATAATCCAACTGAAGTTCTTTTGGTTTTGTTAGCCACACCAAAAACACACACAAGCAAACCCAAACAAACAAAAAAAAAAAACCACCACTACAACAACAACTACCAAAAAAAACCAGCCTTCTCCTCCCTCCCAAAAGCAAGCCCTCATAAATACACCTATTAGTGCTTATAGAGACTTTATCCAAATTTTAAACTGAACAGGATATTGTATGAAAATTTCAAGAATGTTAATTATTTCTGAACTGTTACCTAATTCTTTTGGGTCACGCTCTATTTAGGTCTTGTTGAAATAATATTTTTCTATCTTGTAAGCATGAAACGTACAGCAGCAACATTGAGCATCACCTGTGCTTGCCTTTCAGATCTGTACGTGTATGCAGTGTTTGTGTGCTCAATAGGAATCATCAGTGTCCTCCTTTTCACGCTTGTCATTCTCTGTCAGTCACTTCTGAACAAGAGGAGATCCACAGGTGAGTGAAATGTCATTCTTGCTGGCTGCAAGATCCTTACCAAAGAGGGAGAGCGGGAAAGGACAATGGAGAAAATGCAGGAAATAAAAGTATTTCCTTGTTTTTATTTTAAATTAAAAAATAAAATAAAATAGGAAAGACTGCTTTATTTCTTCCAGAAAAAAATGGAATTTTCTTCCACAGAGTAACTAGAACAAAGGCCTTTTGTTCCCCTTGAATAGCTATTTCACTTTACATTTGCATCGTACTTTTTCAGAACCCTTCAACTTTTCTTAAACATAAATTGCAGGTTGTTGGGACTTTCTTCAAAGACCACCAAGTTCTACATCATTAAATTGCATTCTGATCAGATCTAGCCAGCATTTTGCAGGAGTAACATTTCTGCAGACATGTTTAAAGGGGCTTCAAAGCAATTTTCTTTTGTTCCATTTTCTTATCCATTCCTGACTAAGCTGTCAACATTCTTGGGAAAGTGTGGGTGTTATTAGCACTCTCTCATTTGTAGCGTGCTTTGAACCTAAAGCATCATTTTATCATTCAGATGTGTATTTTCACTATAGTCTTTCAAGACCAAGGATTACCATTTCATCCTTCTCTTTCTCAGGTTTTTCAAAGAGGCTAAACCTGCATGAAAGCAGCCCTGTTATAACTAAAAGTGCTATTTCCGATCTGTGGAATAACCAGTGCAGGCTCTGCTTTCATTTCAGTTTAAGAATGGTATTTTTTGGAGACCTCACACTGTGATAATTAAAATACCAGCATGTTTAGCAGCCATCATGCTAGAGGAAAGTGTAAAGACCATCTCTGAACAGAAGCTGAAAAAGAGTTTGGTTAGTGATTTGTCCTGTGAATGACAGGAGAGAATCGTGACTTGTTGCCTCTTCAGCACTACACACATACCACAAAGGAATGCATGACTCAGATACACAAGGAAGAAGACACGTAAGCCAAAACATAGATGTGTACAGAAGTCCTTGCCTGACCACAACAGTATTTCAAGCTGTGGCTCTGTTTTCCTGGTAGTGCCCTCAGTAGAGTAAACTCCAGGTCTATCTGAACCAAAGAACTGTGCTTGCCAAGAGGAAGAAATAGGATCAATGTTATTCTTCCTACCCTGGTAAGTGATGACAAATGCTTTGTGCCAAGGGAGTACCCACACTTAAGTGTGTTGGTCATGGTGAGTCACCCTGAAGCCACAAACACTAGACACACTGATTTATCCTGTTTTTTCTCTAAAAGACATTGGGCTAGATTTTGCTTCTGTTTGTGTTTATTTACAGTAGCACAAGTGAATGACCAGGTTAGAGCTCTCTTCACATCCAGCCAACACAAGATAATTATAAACAGAATATAGAATAAGCATATACAACAGACAAAAATAATTTATTCTGAGCTAAACCCTTTCTTCACTACTCTAATATCTGAATAATTGAAGTCTTAAACAATTTTTTATTTGGATTTTGTACACTATCCAGTAAACACTGGCAGCATTAAACTTATGGTTTCAATGGAAATATAACAGAATAAAGCTTAATAGATGGCACTCGGTATTCAACAGATTTTATCTATCTATAGGCCTTTTGCCTAGGGCCAGCTGGTCAGAGCATTCTCCCAAAGCAACGTTAATCAGCTCAGCATTCAGTTAAGCAGCAGGGAATTAAAGCAGCAGTGCTCTCTCCTTCAGACTGTTAGAATAAAGCACTTTTCCTCAAAAAGTGTTATCTTACCTTCTTTCCATCTGTGGTACTCTGTACCTCCATCCTGGGCTGGAGTGGGCAGATCCTAGTGTTCAGATGAAAGGAACCTTCAGCAAAATCCTGAAGCTAGTCATTGAGGAAGGGAGCAGGGCACAACACGGCAATCTCCAAGAGCTTCACCCCGAGCCTTCAGGCCAGCTCCAGGCACAGCCTTCTGCCACCTTCAGCGTGGTGATTGCCACACCATCTTCCTCAGAGGCCCTCCGAGAGATACCTGACTCTCCTGTTCCCCTCAGGGCCCAAGAGAACCAAAACCATCTCCATACCTCACCTGCTGGGTAAATCTCCATGAGAAAAATTACTGTTTCCAGTCACCCCACCCATGTGTTCTTCATGAACACACCTGAAGAAAATCATGGAGACACCAACAGCTCTGTCCACTCTCCCACCATCCCCTCTCCAGCTTCCTCAGCCCTAACACCGTATGTATTTAAGTCCAAAATACAGCCTGTAAGGAACTATTCAGCTTTCTTATAAGGGATACTTCAGGTAAGTCCAAATGTGAAAGTTTTCCTGCACAAAGGGGCATAATTCTGTAAGTGCCCCATTGTCTGGTTTTCAAAGCCTTTTAAAGAATGGAGAAAATTAAGATGCAGGGGGTTACCTATGTTACATTACACTTCACACCACGACTCGGGGCTGCTCCCTCTTTTGTTTTAGAGAAATAAATTGGTTCTAGTTTAACTAGAAGAGCCAAAGCCTCTCCTCCTGCCTGCATCTCTCCATGCGATGCAGCTTGGGCAGAGCCAAGCCACAGAAGAGCATCTTAATAACCCTGGCTCCTGAAAGGCTGCAGGAGGGAAGCTGCCCTTGCTCGGGCTACTGATTCACAGCATTATGAAGCAGGAGGACTTACACAGCTCACACTCATGCAGTCAGAGATGGCACTGGCCAGACTGGACTTCCAGTCTGATCCCAGGAGGCAACCCCTAAATGCCTGAGGCTTCAGGCTAGCCTACATTAGGAACAGCAGCAGCTCCTGTAGCTGCATGGTTTATTTCAGGCTTCTGGAAATAAACAGAGGCACCACAAGGGAAATGAAAGTCCTCAAAGTAAAATTACTGGCCTGCTGTGCCTCTCCTTAGCAAGATGTCTCTTGTCTGGGCTGACCAGGGCTGACCACTGGAATGTGAGCTGCCCAGCACTTCCACAGCAGATTTTTGCTATTTGATGCATTTCCCTCTCCCAAGTGTAGCTGTCTTTGAACCTGACTACATTTTAATTCACAAAATATGGTGATCGTTAGCAGCTCTCCCAGTGTGACAACCTGGCTCCTCCACAGTCCCAGGAGCGTAGGTCTACCTGCAGTGTCCATTTGTAATCCATAAACTGTACCAGTGTGAAGCCACATTTTCTTTCTTTCTTTTCTTTAACAGTGAAGCATTACCTGGTGAAATGCCCCCAGAACAGGTAGGAGATTACAATTCTCTACTATAACCCAAGGCACCAGTTCTGTTTTGGTTTTGCTGTGTATGCTGAAGATGAGTAATGTTTTCCAAAATGCCTGCATGAAGATAAAGAGTCCCAGGTCCATGACTCATGGATGTACTTGAAAGCCAACATCTGCCATGCATGACAGGGGAGATCCACCTGTGCTCTCTCGCTGTAGGTCCTGCTTCAGTGACAAGCCTTTTCATGAGGCTCTGAATTGCTTTCTGGAGAATCCTGTTGGGTTTCCCAATACCTGTTACAGCTGGTAATGACATAAGCCATCCAACTACATAAAGCACACAATGTTACCCAATAATTCCTGCACCCAGAACCAGGAGTGAGGCTCAGAAGCATGTTTTTTTGGCCCACAGTCTAATCCTAGCTGAAGACTCCGAGTGATGGGAAAAACGCTACTTCTGCTGCAGTCATTAATCACTGTTCCTTTACATACCACTGACTGCCAGAAGTTTTTGATTGTGTGGTAGTATAAAGCTGATTTCCAGTGTATGAGCTTCTTGAGATATAAACTGTGCTGGAATGGCAGTAAAGGAAAGATGACAAAAGTACTTTACAAACAAAAAAGATTAAAGAGGGATGCCTCATAATGCAAAAGAACATCTGTTTCCCAGTTTTCAGTGACATAAAACACGTTTCTGGCCATGTAGTTCAAATCCAGTATTGCTTGGTATCACAGATACTATTTCTCATAGTATCTTTTTAGCACCAATTCAGTGCCAAGTATAGCATGTCCTAGATCCTAAACTAGTGTATTTTTTGGTGCATTTTCATGGGATAATCACTGTATTCATTCTAACCCACACTCGGATGTAAGGGAAGTCAAAATAAAGCTACAGAGAGTTCAGGCGAGGTCAGTACAAACTGAAACTTTCATGTTATTCTTGAAAGATCTTTGTTTTGTGACCCTGACCAGCCATTACACCACACCAAAAATTTACAGAGACAGCTCAGCAGTTTTCATTTTTCCCTGAATGTTTTTTCTTTTTCCTTCTTTATTAGCTACTAGGACAAACTTAGAACTAAGGAAAAAAAAAAAAAGTGGGGGAGGAAATCAAAGGAAATCAAGATTGTTAGAGAACCCAAAGATAGGGGAAAAATGAGACTGATTGAAAAGATGAGAGTCAAAACTAGTGAAAAAATTGAACATGGCAGTCAGATAAAAAGACTCATAGTATACAGAATCTGCCTGTCTGGGCGTACGTGATATGGTAGTGATACCACTGAAAATGCTAAACTTGGGAGCTGAATATCAGGGTGGAAACAAGCCAATATGATTTCTTCACTTTAAAATGGAATCTTAGGAAGTGAAAGAAGTGCATGACTCTATATGGCTAAAAATTGTGGCTTAATGTATTTTAGTCTGGTAAGGTATGCTAGTGAAAACCCTGATCCTACAAATGCTTGTCAGAAGTGCACTGACTTCAAGGCTTTAAAATAAGTACCTATGAATGTGTTACCAGTAATATGCTTTCTGCTGTGTTTCACAATTACTACCTTTTATTTTCTACCCTCTACTCAAAACACAAACTATTAATTCCTTTGAACTCGTCAGGACTATCTCTATACTTGAAGTTAAGCAGAACTGATATTAAACATGCTATGAGCCACATCTGATGCAAAACATTTGTTTTCATTCTTGTGCTTCAAGGCATCACAAAATCTGAATGGCAAGTAAATCTTGTATTCTGGCTTATCCAGATGTGCTACTGCTAATAGGTAAACCCACTGAAAGGAAGAAGATGCAATTGCATAAGCTGGCACTGGTCACTTCGAGCTGAATGCCAGCAGTGTGGCAGCAGTGCTATGGTCACACAATGACAGAATTTAGAAGCTTGGATACAATTTGAAGTATTAGAAGATATGAGAGGTATGTGACAGCTTCATCCACCTACAATGCAAAACCCAAGAAACCCCATCAGTGTTGCCAGATCAAACCAGAACCTAAAAGGCTGGACCAGATCTCATTTGTGCACTTGGCATAAAGGCTGCATTTCAAACAATCTTTACCTGCCCCTAACAAGTATTTGTTAGCTCATCTTGGAACTTAATTCAAAATGTTCAGGCCCCAAACCCGGTGCCTAAATGCCCATTAAGTCAATGTGATGAACAAATTTGCACGAGATTCTTGCCACTCAAAATGGCTCAGCCTTGCTCAGCTCCAACTCCCTCAGTGACATTTCAAACTGAGAGCAGAATCAAGTTTCCAAATTACATTAATAGTCTGGTGTCTGGGAATCGTCAGCACTCCCACTGCAGTAATACCTAAGCATCTTAAAATATTTCATGTCTTGACATCATAATGATGGTTTTACTTAATTGGAAATTGAAGCACAAATTACTAAGTGATTTGCCCCGGGTCTCACAAAATGGCCTTGGTAGAAAAGAAAGTGCCTGAGTAAAACAACATGAAACAAATGTTTGGGTTTTGGTTCACTGATTGACCAACAACAAATAAAGGGGAAAATGAGTTAACCAAAACCCGTTTCTAAAAATAAATAACTAAATAAAAAGTACAGCCATTATGGGTTTTCCAAACCACTTAATTTTCTTTTCTGTGGGTTTCTTTCCTTTAAATATCTTCTTTTTTATTATCTGCCTTATTATTAGATCGTTTTGTCAGTTTTCAGATCCAGAAACCCACGGGAGATGTAGCTTTGAAAACAGGACTTTTTTTTCTTTTTCCTGTCTTTTGTTTGTTTTGGCCTGAACACTCCAGTCCTTTGGTGACTGCTTTTCTGGAGAAAAATAATTTGAGGTGAAAAAAGCACTCACTTCACAAAGCTGCCTGTCCCAATGCCTTGGTCCCACACCACCACTCTGACAGTGTAGGAACAAGTTCTGCCAGACTGAACCAGAACCAGGCATCCAGCTCACCCCAGGTACCTTCTTACACAGTGCCCCATTTGGAAAATACCAACACAGCTCCCAAGCGACTTGCACTTTTGTCACCCCAACCCACAGATCCTTGACAAGAGGGAATAGCTGACCTAGACAACCACAGGAAGAGTCCCACATCATTGACTCTGGTAAGGATGGTAATGCCCAAATTGTAGCACTTTGCCCGCTCTTGGGACTGTGTGCTCCTGAAAGAGCAGCCACTACCTCCAGGGAAAATTGCCTTGGTTGTCAGACACCTTCCACAGGCTTCCTTTTCCCCAAACTCCTGTCTTTTTCTCGCTCTCTCAAAACTCATCAGATCCTTCAAGAAAGGCACAACGTGACACTGTTAGAATAGGAGCCAGGAGACTGGAGGAGGAGCTGCAGATAAAAACGTAACATTCTTCCTCAACCCAGAACAAGACAAGCTCACAAAGAGACAGTGTTTCAGAGCCAAGGAGTCATTTCTGAGCCTCCTTGTTTGGTTTGAGGAGCTCAGTTTGGAGACAGCAAGTACAGTTATTTTATCTCCCAGAATCAGTTAACCCTGTATAGGTCTGGCACTTGAAAGAAAAGCATAAGCCACAAATAGAGTGTTCTGTAGCTTCACTTTTTCAGTGGCAAAGCAGTACAAAAAAAAAAAAAAATGCAATGAACTAACACTAAGCCTTTTCATAATTTGTACCTAAGTAACAATATCAGAACAATAATATCTTTAAGCTACATATCTGTCTTAATGACCAAAAACATTTTATAAAAATCACCTCCTTTCCCTTTTCTCTGTCCTTTGCAGTTTGCTGTGTTTGAGTGATGGAGCTAGACAGGACAGTTTCATTTCCTGGTAGTTTTAAATGATTTAACATTATGATTTTAATATAGAAACAAATGGTTGTTGTGGGAGAGTTTCACAATTGTGCAGGCACACTTTAAAATCACTTTAATGCAACCCTCAGTTTACATAATTGATGTGATTTATTTATAAATCATGAAAATATTTTACCTCTTAAACACTTTTTTAGAAGTTTGGCTGCAAACCTATGTCTTCAGCTGAATACAAGGAACAGAATTTAGCATAATCAGCAAAACAGAGTTTTTTTTTTAATCTACTCAAGTGTAAATTCAGAGTGATTTCACCAATGCTAGTGGCATTTGTTTGGATTTACAGCTGTGTAAAATGATAATGGCTCCTATTTTGCTATTCTTGTGTAGGCAATAGCTGAGAAATCTTAACTTTCATCGAGACTTTGGCTCAATTTGAATATTTAATTCTATTAATGAAAAGAGAATGTTTCTTTATACAAAAGAACCTAGAGAGGAACAGCATCTCGGGACAAATGATTTAAAATTCAGAGAATACAATGTCACCAGTGTTATTACCACAGAGCCCCCAGCTGGGTCCCACTACATGGTGCAGCTCCCCAGGATGATTCCCTCAGCCACTCTGAGCCCTTCTCAGGGCCAGCCCATATCAGGTGCACCCAACAACTACTGCTTTCCATCCCCCCCCATCATTTAACTGACCCCTATATGCTCTCCTCCCACCCCAGCTGTAAGATAAGATTCCTTTTGCTCCCAGTTAAGCCAATATATTCTTACTTCACGTTAGTTGCAAGCGAGGAGCACCTGCACAGTCGGCACAGCTGACATGGTGACAAGGTCAAGTCTCTGCAACCTGACTGCATATCTGAGCCCCTAAATGTTCAGAGCAGGTTATACTGCTTCAGACTTGAGACATGCTAAGGGTAAAACAAAATGAATCAAAGCATAACAGAACAGTTGCTACACGATGATGAGCTATAATAAGTCCAGATACAGAAGCCCTCTTTTAGGACCCTATTTATAATAAACTGTTGTACTCTTCCCTCACATCTACCACTGCTTTCTCAGCATGGATGTACCGGAACATGCAAATTGCTGGAGTTATGAGACTGCAGCACATGTTACACACTGCACCTCCTGTAAAAAGCTGCCTTTTTCAGATATAGCTTTGTCAGCCATCTGAAGGACGAGCTACCTCAAGGCATGCTGCACACTCTCCTGTCCTGCTGACCAATCAGCCAGGATTAGCCCCTAAGATTTTGTTTTGCCATGAGCTGCCTGTGTGATCTTATTCCAGCCCACCCATGGCCCTGGTCCTAGCCAACAAAAAGGTGCAAGCACAGACTGGGGACAGCAGCAGGATCATGCATGTTTTTAAGAAATAGCTGCGATGAAATGTGTAAACCCGGCTTTAAGGTCACTTTGCTTTTTCTGTGTCAGGAAAGATCAGGCTCCTGATTTTCTCAGCTAGGCTGTGTGATTGAAGAAATGCAGGACCCAGAGCATTTTCAGCCCCCTGTCACAGGTTTTTTAGCATAGCCCCATGTCAAAATCCAAGTTGTTGGGCAGTAGCTCTCACAAGCGGAAGGTGATGTGTCTGCTTGCATGAACTCACTGGGACAAAGCATCTTTCCCTGCGTTGCCCTCACCTGTCCCTCACACACGGGTCTCTGCATTGCAGCTCAGGGGAGACCGTAACCAGCGTGACAAGCATGTCCCCTCTGCAGCCCAAGAAGGTAAAGAAGAAGAAAGAGAAAGTGGAGCAGCCGCCTGCCATCCCAGCAAAAGGTATGAAAACAGAGAGGCAGGGGTATTTCAAACCCCAGGTACAACCATGGAGGGAAAGCAGTGCATGGGATGTCAGGCCTTGGCACTCTGCACCCATCCCGCTTGTGGGCAATGCATCTGTGGGGGAAAACATGCCCAGTGCCTGCTGCTGGGACCAGGCCTGCATCCCCACAGCCTTAGGTATGGCAGGGTCATCACCGCGTCTAAACCAGAGGCCTCAGCTCCCTGTAACAGAGAGGAGAGCAGGACCTCTGCCACAACGTTCACACTCATATTGAGGATCAGAGTTAGGCAAGATGAACTCTCACTTTGGGGATAAACTGGTGAGGGAAGCCAGCACAACGCACTCTTAAAAAATGGGGGTGCATTTCATAGATCAAGCAAGACAAGCAGATAAAGATCAACCCTTTGGGGATCTCATTTTCAAAGAGGGTTTGGGGTTACCTCTGGGGTCGGTCACACAAAGACTTGGGTGTGCTTTCTGAGCACTGCCACCAGTGCTAACCCAATGGCAGAGGGGAAGGAAAGGAGCTGAAAGTTTTCCATGCATTAGATCACAAGTGACCAGTCCTCAAGACGTGTCTTTGGTCTCTGGCTTCTGCACAAAACAGCATGATTTATATATCAGATTCTTTAATCTTACGATTTTTTCCGATTCATAAGCCCTATGCTTCATTGTAAAGCAAGTTATCTGAAATACAGTTAAGCTTTTATAAAAGTGTAACTACATGTATTTATTTACTCCCAATCTGCTATAAATCTGTCATTTATAAATTGCTAATGCACATGCTAAAAATGACAGTGAATTATAATAACATGAAATGACCCCTTAATATTTATTTCCACAGCTCCAATAGCCAATAATTTTCCTAAGCCCAAGCTCTTGAAACCTCAAAGAAAATTGATCCTGGTAAGTAATTTTCAATGACATTTTCTTCATATTCTTCTCTCTCAATATAATTGCTGTAATGTTGCCAGAACTCCAGGTTCAGAAGCTATAAATTGGCATAAAAATTACACAACTTTTTTTTTTGCTGTTTGTTTTTTTTTTTTTTTTTTTTTTTTTTTTTATAAAGTAATACTTCTTAAAGTGATAAGTTGTCTTGGCCCTTTTCATTTAGAGCATTAGGTTACAGTGGATTATGTTTTTCAGCTTTCTTGCAGTCACTGTGTCTACAAATTTAGCCTGCTCTTAAACGAAACCTGCTATTGATTCTCACATGCTGCTGGGAGCTGGTGCTTCGGAAAAAAAAACATCCGTTACTGGTAGAATCACAACCACACTGTCACACTGCTTTTGAGACATTTCAAGTCAAAAACAGGGTCCTGATTCTGCCCCACAGTGGTGTAAGTCAGCAACAGCTGAAGTTGCAGGAATGAATATATGCATAGAGCTTGTATGAAAGAAAAGAAAAACTTGGATGCAGTTTCTGTTGGATACGAGTTTTTGTTAAAAAACAAACCAAAACTCCAAGCCTGTGGGTATTTGCCAGACAGATCAGATAGATGGGCAGATGTTTCTCTGCTTTAGTAACAAAGCAGTACCTGGCCAAGACATCTGGGGTAACAGAGACTGCTTTATACCAACTAACTTCAGCTGCACTATAACGAGGCTGGCTTGCATGGCTCCCTGTGCAGTCAATAAGCAGAGGTGAGTCAGAGAGGAGCCTGACCAGATGCTCCTCGTTGCCTTTTGGGGGGATCTGCTCTCTGTTTGTTGGCAATGCAGAGCCCAGGGTGACTAACCCCCTAACTTCAGCACCTGAGTGAAAGGCAGCTCTCTAAAGTTAGGTGATGTGAATAACACAAATGCCTCTGTGATGGCTTCACTTTCAGATGAGGACTGGAATTGGGAACCCTCCCACCAATTGCTGGCAAATGTTCTCTGCTCTTTTAACATGGTACAGCCCAGGGTACCTGGGAGCGGTGCCAGGTGGCTCCTGCTCAGCTTAAATCTTGCGTGACACTGCTTCTCGGGCACACTGCCCACCTCTTCCCCTGGTCACAAAAGGGTTGTGCCTTGGTCAGCCTCCTTGTACTGGTAAGGTATCAGTAAAGGAAGAGGTAGAGTTTTAAAAGCCCATGAAAACAAAACCTGTGTTAGCCACTGTGTCCCAGCATGTGGCTATTCCAGGTATCCACTAACCTTCAGCCCTCCTAGAAAAAGCTCTCATCAGTTAAAGCACTCAGACTCTGCCTGCAGGTCAATAAAGCACATCAACACACACTGAACTTGAGGTAAATCTGTTTCCAGATGCTTTTTCTTTCTGGAATAAATCCAGGGATGGGGGCCACAAATAGCTATTTACTCTTGCCTTCCCACCATGGGACCCCAGACAAGGTTCAAGGTCTTTGGAGGAGAGCAGCAATAAACCCTTCTCAAACCCTGAAATCTGCTTTGTTTTCCCTAGCATGACTGAGCACCTGTGTGCTGCCAGCAGACTCAGTGTTAGTGCCTTGCTGTCGGACTCGAGGCTGGCAGCTGCTTCCATGTGTGCCTCTTTTCCCTTTTACATGTTACCTCAGAGTGCACATGAAAAGATATCGCAGTCTGCAGAAAACACACAATCTATGGACGAGAGTTAGCTTTTAGCTGAAAAATAATCCAGCAAATATTGTACAAGGCATTTTCAAGACCCAAACTCACCTAGTGGTACTTAAAAGGCAGAAAACTAAACCCAAGGCAGTCCATAAGGCATATTCAGAAGCTGAGCAGGACACTGCCCTGAGCTGTTTCCCATTTGTGTTCCTCTTGCCTCTCTCTACAACCCATTTGTTTAAACCGTCATGTTTTAGTATTCTCAGGGAAAAAAAAATCTTTTCTCTTTTTAAATTCTCTTTTAGTGAGAAACCTAAACTAGCTGAAGTTAAAAAAAAAGTTTCAACAAAGATATGAAATGGAAATAATTACAGAATTCAAATTCATCAAAATGGAACATTTTGTTGGTTTCAGCACAGGTCTCCTGATTTTCTTAATTCACAAAAAATTCTCAGATTTAAAATTTTCAGTCTGCTTTGGGGCAAGAAAAAATGTTATCGCCACCCTGCCAAATTTCTGCAGGGTAAGAGATTTTTTCCTTTCAACTGCAATTATTTCAAAGTTGTTGTCTGCGCTAGTTTTTTTTTTCACAGATGGCACATAGTTGCTAGGTAAGGTAATAGCCCTTGGAAAGCCAGACTCAAATTGCTGAGTATCTGGACTTCTTCTTCAGCTTCCCATTGCAATCGAAAGAAGATACCACACTAGGAGAATATTCTAGAAAGCCTAAGCAAACAAGCTTGAGTATAAGGGAACATTACAAAATAATTCCAGTGTTTTGGGAAAATTTTTGTAATAACCTAAATACCAGCAAAATTATTTCCAGAGGACATGTGCTTCTGGTTTCTTGAAAGATGTTTATAATAAGCTAGAGAATTTCTTTTGTTGTTAACATGCTAGAGTGGATTGCAGTATAATTTTACAAGAATACAATAACCTGGGTAAAATATGGACATAATCTCAATGAAAATTAAAAAAAAAAAAAAAGTGAAAGCCTAATATCATGTTCAATTGCACAGCCTTGAGTAAAGTCTTTTAAAAACTCTGCTTATGTCATATTGCTTTTGCTTTAGCCAGAACAAGAATTCTATGCTCCCCTTGTTGCAAAAATATTCCCCATCAGTGTCATTCTCTATTAGCATCAATGAGAAATGTGTACAGATCAAAGGAAATAGAGATGCTGAAATGCAAAAAGGGATGGTTTTTACAGCATGTAAGAAGCACAGAGAGTCATTAGGAAGACGAAAATTCTAGGGGCCCACAAATCTGTCTCTCTAAGGGCTGTTCCACTACAGCCTTAAGTACTTAGCCCTTTGAATTGGTAGAGACAAATCTTATACTTCCTCAAATGAATTTTCTGGTAAGCCTTTCATTGCCTCCTAGAGATTCGTTGTCATAGTCCAAGAGTTTCAGGTGCAGAACATCTAAATGATTAGGTTTCAGTGTCTTCATGAAGGTTTGCATCACCAAACTTTTAGAAGACCTTGTGTGGAGCTAGTGGAAAGAATTTGATTCCAAGTTAGACCAAATTCTGCAATCTTTACGTATGCAAAATTTTTGTTGACTTCATCATCTTCACATTAAACTTTAAGGGAAAGACTACCTGCACAGATAAGGCAGGATACAGGGAATCTTCTTGATTCTGCCACTGACTTATGCAGCCTCTGCCAAGTCAGATAATCATTCCACTTTGAAATGAGATAAATGCATCCCATATTATAAATGATCCCCTTGGGTCTAGTTCTTTGAATGTGTTGTAAACGTAAGGGACACAGTATGTAGGATTTGCCTTCTGCAGCTCCTGCATTGACAAATCTCTTTACCAGAGTGTATCTGGGTTCTCCTATTATGCAGCACAGAATATGCATTGGTCCTGTGTGACTTCTGGAGCAGTGGTTTTCCAGAGACCATATTGGAGCTAATTCTGAGAAACATCCCACTACCCACAGCTAATGCAGCACAGACAGCATTGTTTGTTTCAGCATGGATTGGATCACTGGAGACCTGGTCCTACATGATTGCTGAGATTTTCTTTTGATGATGATTATGTAAAAGCTACTTGAGAAATGGGAAGGGCTTATGGTTATCTAAGATTGAGGGAAACTTCTGGAAGTCATTTTGGTGACAGCTCAGAGATCTGGATTCCCAGCTTTTACAGATGTATCAGAAATGGAACACTCTGACTTTTTCTTTTCTCTCTCTCTTTCTCTCTTCCCCACCCACCCTAGCTTTGAAAAATCCCATCCTTATTTGTCATTATAGGCTAAGTGCTGACAATGTGCTGAGTGCCAGCCAGTGCATGTTAGGACAGTCCCTGCACTGGAAGTGCTTACTCAGCAGAAAAGTGTGTCAAAGCCTGGGATCTGCAAGCATTCAACCAAAGCACAGCTGTCCTGCTTCTGCTGTGTCTTTGAGGCAGAAGGGTGTTGTTTTTAGCAGGAACTTGATGGGTGTTTAACACTTTTGGAAGTAAGAAAGATATGATTTGGTCTCTTCTGCATGAATTCAGCAAAATTAAGCTTAGTTCACATTTAGCTCATTGTTCTACATCAGTGTATACTCCCAAAGCAAGCAATGAAGAAAGGTGCTCCTAGAGCTGCCCAGAAGCTGAAGTTTCCTTCATCTGAAAAATCATTTTGACTTTTAGGTTTCAGGAGTACAAATAAGCAACCAGACCCACTGTGTATCAGAACCAGTGACTTGGAGACCCTTTGAGGAAGGGTCTGGATGTGCAAGTGAATGATCTCTTTTTCATCTTACAATTAAGTACTACATCATTCAAGCCAGTCTTATACCTATTCACCAAGCTCACTAGGAAAGGTTTTCTAATCAGCTTTTTGCATGACTAGTAGAATTCCTGAATAGTCTTAACATGCAGGTACCATTGGCCCTTTCCTTAAGAAAAACAAAGAGTGAAATACTATTCAGTAACCTCATATATTTCACTTCTGAGAACAATCAGGTCTCCTTTTCGCCTGCATGATTTTAAATTAAAAGCTATGCCACCCTCTGTTAGAAGAGTTATTTTCTCCACGATATGTAACAATCTGTGATTTAAGTTCTCAATTTCTCAAGGCATTATTGATCTCCACAGACTTCAAGTAACATTGTACATATGATATGCAAGGAAGAACTGAACTTTTTTTTCTCGACTCCCCATGATTCTTGAATATTTTCATCCAGTCCACATAATTCTTTTCTCTGTCAGATAAATAATCATTTTTTATCAGTCTTTCATTAGGATGTGAGAAGTCCATAGGAACGTTTCTTCATGAATATCATTTACACATTCAAGTTGAAACTCAGAATATAATATATTCAAAACTTCTGAGTTATGCCTGCTTTCACATTCAGATCCTGCATTTCTATCTTCAGCCCCAAGAAGGAACAGTTTGTGTAAATACAGAAAAGCTCTTGCTTGAATTGTGCCAAGAATTGTGTATTTACAAAGTCCCACAGCAGATGATTTTTGTGCAATAACACCTTTGGAGTAAAAAATGTGTCTCACTAGAAAACTAAAGTCCTTGAACCCTTCTGAAGGATAAAGAGAAATAATCCTGATTTCCAGCAATGTTGGTTTGGTTCAGAATCTAGTAGTAATTCTGCAGCTGTAAAAGGAATAAAGCATTAGCAAAGGGACTATTCTGCAAAAGCTGTTAAAACAGGCTGGACAAACTTCTGCCAGGTACATTTAATTCTGTTAATGAAGAAAGACGGACTGACTAACTCCGTATAAACACTACCAGCCATTTAAGGGATTCTGTTTCTTTAAAATAAAATGATTCAATGGGACTTAGAGAATCACCTTTGTCTTTGTCCCCGACGTTGTTATCGTAACTTCTGTGGGATTTAGAAGCAAAATTTAGATGCAGTGCTGAAAGAGGTTTCACAAATTGACATAGACATTGTTTCCAGTGGTGAAGCCTCTTCTGGGTATTAAAAACCAGACATCTTAGTGGAAAGAAAATGTCCTTTTTTTTGACTGATAGTGCCACCAAAAATCATACTTCCTACTCCATGATTTTCCAATGTCATATTTCTCAGCCTTGGCACAGAGAGCACAATGGCTCTCTTGATATTCCAGAGCTCTTACTAGCCAGCAGTTGCATTTCTGAGGAATAATTCATCTTGCAGATCTAGCTTCATTTTTTTGCGAAAGTCTGCAGAAGTCATTTTGAAGTCCCTCTCTTCCAAAGCTAGCCCCTGTTCCTTAGGCAGCACACAGTTCTCTCCCATCTGGACATTCACACAGAGAGCATCAACGGTCTGCCCCCATGCCTGAGCCCACCCCCTTGGGCCTGCAGAGTGCTGCCTGGGCACGGTCTGATTTCTCTGTGCTCAGGCAGTGACACAGGGTGCTCCTGAGCTGTGCCATAGGGACAGTATCAGTGCTTTCCCTGGGGACCTCTATACAGAGGATGAATGCAAAGCACAGAGTCTCTCAAATATGAAACGGAAAAGGTCCAAACTCTGATTTGGGATTATGCAAAAGAAAGGGAGAGGAAAAATGATAGTTGCAGCAAGTTGTTGCTAAGAGAGACCTACGTTGTGTCACTGCACAGGGCTGTGGTGTAACCTGAAGAAAAGCAATTGTGCTGGAGACTTCATCAAACAAACCTCATCACCACCTCTTGAATCCATACCTTTCCAGCATGTGCCCAACAGCAGTGTGGCTAGCCCATAGGTGACAATTTCCCCTGTAATGGCACTCAGAGCAGCAAACATGCCTAATTGGCGACGTTTGATCTAATCCATTCACCCACAAGCACAGGACCTGGCAGTGAGGGTAGGGTTTCATTTTTAATGTTTCTGCAGGAATTCTGAGTTACTGAATTGTTAAACTCTTGACTGGAACTTTCTTGAAACATGCCTGTTAAACCCCAAAAATTTAAAAGTGACAAGTCAATTTGGTATATAAGCGTAATTTTCTTACTCTCATCCATAATTAAAGTCATTCTGAATCATATCCCAAACATCTCCATCACATACAATCATATAGACACTGAATTCCAAGGCAAATATCTGCAGCAGTAGTGGATTAAGTATTTAAGACTGAAGTGAACAGGCAAGCGAGCCCTTGTCTGCTTAATTTTGATGGTAAGCTAGAATCAGGGGATTATTATTATTTTTTTTTAAATTAGAAACTCACATTTATTTTGTCATTTTCACAATAACTGTTGAGGTCATGAAAGAGCAAGACTACACCAATCCATGAGTGAAAGCTGGCAGCAGTTGTTTTTCCAGACAAGTTAAAATTATGAGGTTATTATTTGCTTGTTTTATCTATAGCTATTTACAAATTTGGATAAAAGTGGTTTTAGTTAAAACTTCAAAACTTTCAGTCTGACAGTTCTCACAGTAAATATCCTTGATGCTGCCAAGAAACAACCCAGCTAAGCCAAGAAAGAGCAAAATTGACATTCCTGATAATTATGACATAAAAATCAGAGTAATTTTCATTAAAATCCCAGCCCTTCCAGGTCTTTTCTAACACATTTATACACTGGACAAGCCCAATAAAAACAAAACTGAGTATACACACACTTAAGTTTCTTTTAGATATTCACGTGATAGACTTTGCAGATTGTTTTTTGAGAAAATGTTCCTATAACTGAATTATTTCACATAGTTGCCCAAGGGAAGCCCTGTGACTGGAATAAACTAAAATTAAACTGGAAGAGATCTGGAAGAAGAATCATTTTGCATTTGCCAGAAGATACACTGGAAAATGATGACTCTTTCTAATTTGTGTTTCTTCAAAGGGTATGATCCCAAGACAAGATGAAAACAGATGCACATGATAAAAGTCTACATCTAGAAATGTCACTTTGGAAAATAACTCTATTTGAAGAAATCATTTCAATATAATTTAAGAACAATGATGTAATTTTTCAGGAAAGGACATTGTAGCCATAGAAATCCCAATGACCCCCTAGATGAAGAGCTGGGATGGAAAGAAAGAGGCGAACAACCAGTCATTTGCTGTCTCTTCCTCTTCTGTCCTAATATCAGTCCCACCTGTAAGATCAGTTATTAAAGTCATCCTGTTGTTCTAAAAAGGAGGTGGTGGCAGGATTCCAGGCTGACATTGCCAAAATGGTATCCAATCCAAATGAGAGATGAAATCATAGAATTAGTTTTCTTTCCCTGCCTGTTCAAAAAAAAATTGGTTTTGGACAAACAAACTATCAAAATTAAATTAAACATATGGTTGATAAATGAAGTACAGAAAAGTGCATGAAAAACAAGCCTGGCTACCATACGTACTTTATAGTACTGTTGGCTTCCATGCACTGTTATTACACATCCTTCGCTGAAAACTGTATACCCTTCACAATTTTGAACCTCCTGTGTGTTTCCTCATATTTTCAATCAAATTATTACATACTAGAAATATGCATAAGGGAAATTATTCTACACATTTTATGGTGTGCTGTTGCTTGTAGCAGTAATTGAAGTACCTTTTCCACTTATGAAAGTACTAATTTTATTTGGTTTTATTGCTTTTCTAGATGCAATTATTTATTTAGTGTGTTTTGGTTTTATTAAATTATGTTTACTATAGGAACATCATAAAAATGTATGAAAACAACACATCAGCCACTACTGCCCAATGACCTGTTTTGGGGAATCTAGTGTTATTTTTCATATCCAAACATAAATAGAATAAAGTAAGAATAAAGAGATAATCTACACTGGAAAACAATGCAATTTTGAGTTAACACAATAAAACACCTGGCCAATATGATTTCATAAATCTTAGTTCTAAAATTTACATGAGCTGGGCGTTGAGGTGGCTATTTTAGGACGTGACATTTTCTAAATGGAAACATAATATGAAATGCAATTAAACAGCAAAGAGGAAAGCATATACAGATTTAGCATGCCCTGAGCAACTGATTTCTATGGAACAATGAAAATAGTTCTACTTCAAAAGGTGTACTGGGTCAGTCCTAGAAGATGTGGAGTTTTACTTTGGCAGTAATCAATAGCTTGTTTGGAAAGTTTTATCAGATATGTTTTTAAGATGCTTTTTTTTGTGCATCATATCATTATGTTCAGGGGCTGAGATGACTCCCACTAAAGTCAGTAGCAAAACTCCCATTACCTTCAAATAGAGGCTAGATCTGTTATCCCACACTGAGAATAAAATCTTCAGTATTTGCTGGTTTTATTGCAATATCCAGCATCAACTTAGTTTCTGCATTTAGCTGGCATACTGGAAAGACAGGTAGATATAGCTTTGAAGTCTTAAAAGGAATCTTTAACATATGAAAAAAAGGCAAAAACAAATGCCTAGATACTTTCAAGCTATAAAGAAGAGAGATGTTAAAAAATAATTAATCAGAGTAGCTGACAGATTTTCTCTAACTTTTTTTTTTTTTTTTTTTTTTTTTTTTTTAACTCAAAGCCAGGAGAGTATGGATGTCTTTCTAAATGTGTTTTAGTTCACTCCCATTATGTGAACAAATAAATGTGACTTTCTTTCTGTGTTGTGTATGAGATCAGGTAGCAGTCTACAGGAAGTCTTTTTACATCATAACAGCAGAAAAATCCACAAAAACAGGAAGTTTTGTGTGGTTAACAGTGGAGCATTTAGTAGTGAATGAGGACCAGAAGCTGAGATCAAATAGGACTACCCATGCAAGGTGGGGAAGACAATGTGAAGAATTCAATGCATAGATTACAGTCCTGCAGACACAGAGCCCTGCAGATGGTCTTTACTCACATGTACAATCAGCTGACTTCAGTGATACTCCTTGCAGGAGCAGCTGCACAAAGTATTTCAGGATCAGATCTACAGAGAAGAAATAAGATTAAATTCATGCTGGAAAACTGTAAGAGGATCCACCCAGAGGGAAACAATCTGAAATGTAGAGAGTGAGCGACTGTCAAGGCAAAATGAAAGGATTCCAGAAAAGTGCAAAAGACAGGAAGCAGGGGAGCACGGGGACTGATTTCAGAGGATATTAGATGTTTATCTTTTTAGCCAGAAGACAATACAATAATTATTCAAGCAGATTTCAAGGAAACAGGAATCATTTATGTTAAATCAGAAAGGAATAAATAGCAGTAAATAAAACCTAAGGAAACTTGCCATTGGAAAATACTTTTCTTTTTTTTTTTTTTTTTTCACTATATGGAAACCTTGGTTTATAAACTTTGAGTTAGTTTTCAATTTACAACTGAGAAAACCTTTCTTGGTCTTAGAAATGCAAACTTTTCTATAAGGTAGAAATTTGTGACTGCAACAGACTGCATGGCTGATATTTTTGTATCAGCCAAAATATATATTTTTAAATAGTCCATTTTAGTCTTAAACTTGAGGACAACAGAGCCACAGCAATTTACAAAAGTGGAGAAATCCTACTGGAATGACAGTAACAACTCAAACCACATTTTTACCACCTTATGCAGAACATTAACACACTTTTTCTGTTAAGAAACATAATGAGAGGTACTGTGACTGTCAGTGATTAAAGATGTAACTGGGAAGCAAATCTGGCACATATATTTCAAATTGTGGAATTTGTGAATAGCTAAAATTAAATTGGGAAATGTAAGATAAAAGTGACCAAACGTTGCTAATATACATATTTCAAACGTGCACTATTTGAACTGTCAAATTAAAGCAATCAGTGTTTAAGAAACAAGGAGAAATTGGATGTGAAGCTAAAAATCCTATCTCCTATTTCCTTAAAAAATGTTTCCTTTTAAAAAATTATTTTTATTTCATCATATCTGAACTAACTGGCGCAGAGTAAGCTTACTAACAGCAGAGTAGAACTAGCATTTGTGAGAGAAGAAACACACCCCATTCTATAGAATATTTGAAGTGACTTTTACATTTAACGATAATGACATTATAACTGTAATTTGTTGTTTGTTTCCTAGCCAAAAATTGCAGAGGAGAATTTAACATACGCTGAACTTGAACTTATGAAGCCAATTCAGGAAGCCAAAGGCATTCCCAGTACGACAGTCTACGCACAGATACTGTTTGAGGAGAACAAGCTGTAACAGTTCATGCCTGTATAAATGTCCTTTGTCTGTGTTCTATTTAATTCTTGCTGTGCTGTTTATTTATAAAGATCATACAAATGTCCGTATTTTTTTATTGCCGTTCATGTGCTTCTATAATTCTATGAGTCTTTTATACAAAATGTAGTTGAAAGCAATCATAGAAAAAGCAGCTGGTCTACAAGTGACATCCAGAGACACCCCACCCCTATAGTGTTTGCCCCTCCCCTTCCCCAATTAGAAGGATACTAAGTTCTACCTGGGGCATTTTCAATGCTATTCATTATTCTTTCTTTGACACTAATGCAACAAGTCCAGCTGCAAACATGGACATCTGAGCAAGCTGTGGAAATACTAGTGGCAGGATCCATGCACATTAGCCTGCTTCTTAAGATGAGGACCATTCACAAGGAAATTCAACAAACTGCTGCTGTTTATCCCATCAAAAAATAATAATTCAGTAAATCTAACACTTATTTTTCCACAGTAAAAGGAAAGCTAGAATTACATTTTCTGCCTTCTACCCCCCCCCCCCCCCAAAAAAAAAAAAAAGTTATCAAAAGGTATGGTTTCTATGTTTTCTTTCTGAATGACATTGCATCTTACAGTACCTTTAGTGAAGCCCTACTTCAGAGCTTAAAATCAAACACTTCAAAATAATCCGATGGAAACATTCCTAGTTAAACCATATCAATTTGAGGAATAATATTTATAGCTTGGGAACATTTTCCAGGGTTTTATGGTTTTTTGTAGTTCTGGTTGAGAATAGAAAAAACTTGATAGTAAGAGACATCCACAGAACTGGGACACTGTTTTTGGCTTTGCTCTAGACTGGTGCTCCTAAACCTGCAAAAGATTCCTCCTGTGGCTTACCTTAGTGAGCTGCTGTGATGTGAAGTGATGTGGAGGAAAAATCACAGAGCATCTCCTTTAGTACAGAGCAGACTCCGTAATGCCCTGCTCACTTATCTTGGAGTTGGTTCTTTGGAAAGGCCAGGGCTCGAGAGATAGGGAACTGAGTCTACCGTGAGAGCACAAGATACTCTTCCTCTCACTTCCCCCCTTGTTAACTGAGAAGGGATTCTTCCTTTTCCTACGATACACATTCATGAAAACGGGATGTTCTCTGGCATCCCAGGCATGTCAGCCATGAAGGATAGCTGGATTGGGGTTTTAAAGCTCCTAAATTTGCAATGCCCAATTTCCACTCAAGGTCAGGGATTGGACACCCAATGCCTTTCAGCCCTTGGAAAGCTTTAGCCCTTGAGTAACCACAGAGTTAATGGGGATAGAAAAGCATGGGCTCTTTAGCTCACCATCAGGCCCTCAAGATCTGATGTTTGGCACGTGCCGAGCCCCTTGACAGGCCACAGATTCAGCAGCATAAGCATGGATTTTGGAACAGTGCTTGCAGCCCTTGCATCTTGAAAATCTCAATCAAAGTGATCCAAGTAGCTTCCTCCTTCACGGGTCAAGCTATTTAGTGATACAGCAACTTCATTCCAGGGCTCAGAGCACAGCTAGGAACACTTACAGTAGCGCTCATGTTGCTACTCCCAATTAGCACGCGAGAGCAGAGGGCAGCAGTAGCAATGCAGGAAGGGGGACACATGACAAAAGGACAGCACACCCCTGCCTTTTGGAGGGTTCCCCCAGAGTAAGCAAAGCTCTATAAACTGCTTTTTAACTTTTCTTGAATGGAGGTGTAGATTATGTGGCATATATAAAAAGTTAACTTGCAGTCAGGGTGGGTAGATATAAAATGTAGTTATTTGCTTCCACGCTAGTTAAAAACCTCTTCTATAAAAGAAGAATTCAAGAAAGGCTTGGTAGGCTGGCCATTGTGTACAGTACTAATTCCATCCCTACCTCCTCATCAAAGCAGTTCTTTCCAAACTAAAGCCAGCTTCTATCAATAGGTTTGTTGCTAGTAATTATTTGCATTTTAAATATTTGGGTTTGTTTCACCTTCTCATTACCCCAGGAATTTAATCACCCAACAAAATGGCATAATATCTTTCCTTATTCTCTGATGAGCTCTTGCTGGCAAGAGGCATAAACTCATTGACCAAAAAATTGGTGCTAAAAAGTCATCAAACATTCAGGGACCAGACACAGTTTGACTGAACATTCAGAGAGAACAGCATCTTTTAGGTAGACAGCTGTAAGGAAGAGCTTAGAAAGGTATAGAACTTATTAGGAATTCCTTTGGAATTAAAAATACAACCCTAACATCTTAATAATTTGATCATTTAGTTGTAAAAACTTTTTAAAGTTTGGTAATATGAACATTGCTTTTACATACAACTGGCCATTATGCCCATTGTTCAGAAAAGTCCACTACTGTATGTTTATAGCCATTATTTTAATGAATACCATTCTTTGTGTATTAATATTTTATATGTTCTTGTTTATGCTTCATATCTAATTCCCCATAATAATAGTTAATTGATCTAAATAAATTACCTTTTTTGCTGAGATAAGTTCTCTCAGTCTTTATAGGATTTATTGCTTGCTAGAGAATGATACGAAGACATGTTTTCATCTCATACTTGACATAAAGACAATCCAAGGAGATGGTAACTGACTTTTTCATTCTGCAGAAAATCCCAAGATTTTAGAAAGTTTTCCATTTGTGACTGACTTCAGATGACAACAGAATCCTGAAAGGCAGCAGACCATCCGAGTGAAAGGAGGGTCATATTGTTGGAGAAAGTAAAACATCATCCTGTCCCTTGAAATTAATTGTACAACTTTAAGTTTAAAAGCAACTCACTTGAAAGAATACGGAGAAGAAAGTTTCACCAAGCATAACAGGCTTTAGTGGGAGAAATGTAGTTGGGTTTAGCTCGTTTTAGCAGGAAACTCAAGGCAGAATTCACTCTGGCCCGACTCCCTCTGGCTATAGCAGAACAGCAGCAGAGCTGAATGTGGTCCACTGCTTTTTTATGATAGGAGCTCCCATGAAGACTCTTAATACTATATTTAGTAACAACTGGATCTGCTGAGTCACAAAATTTTGGTTACTCCTTCTGTTGTCATTGGTAAAACATGGCCCAGTGCTGAAATTTTAACAAATACAGCTCTATTAGCTTCACACCGACTTAGTGTCAGACTGTTAAATGTTAATGTACTGCACCCTATAGCTTTAAACAGAATTAGAGATGTTTACAGCTTTGGTTAAATGCACCTTGTTCCTCCACATTAAATTTTATTGCCAGAATCCTCCATCAGCAAACAGGAGTAAATCATATTAGTGTCGCAGGCTGTGTGGGGGTTGATTCTGCAGCCCAGGGAAGGGGTGTTTTATCACTCTTTATTACAACTTTCTAATTGGTAGGTGTGGCAGGAATGCTATATCTGTAATTACAAGCAAATTATTTCGTTTAGAATAACTGTAACTTAATTGTGGCGTTCTCTTCATTAAGAAGTTCAATCAACTTGTGTCCTTAGCTAGGGTTTGGCCATAGCAGGACTAAACCGGATGAGGTCTTATTTTTTATTTGATATGTAGATCAAGTTCTTGTGTGTGTGTGTCTGTGTGTGTCTGTGTGTTTTAGGACTTCTCCAAAACACCTCTGGTGAGCAATACTAGGTTGCAAAGATCGTTTGGGGCTTCAGTCTAACTTGTCAGGGTGAAAACATAAGAAATCCTAAATTCTAGCAGAAAACAATTGCTCTTTGGACTTTCTTGCACATCTGAAATATTCTTATTTGGTATGCTTTGTTCAACACTTAGTATGTCTCAGTTTTATTTACCTTGGTTGTGAGGTAAAGCAGATAGAAAGACTGCATGCCAGTTGAAGAACTGAAGACACCGAGTGTGGCTTTCTTCTTATAAAGAACAAACGATTCCTGACACTACTTTTCTTGAAATGAGTAACCAAATTATTCCAGAGGAAATGCTTAGTAACACACCATGCCCTGGAAATTCAGGCAATGGGTAGGTCAGGTTCTGAGCTTGCTTCTAAATCCCATTCGGAGCACAAGCCACAAAGGAAAAAGCCTGCTGAAACACCTGCACAAAACATGCCATAGCTCCAAAACAACCCCTCTCTCTTGCTACCTCAGCTCCTTTCAGT